AAAATGGAAAATCATCTGTTAATGATATAGTATATGACAATATCTTTAACTGGACTAATATCCAGTGTATCCATGCTGGGAAAATCAATTTTGTAAATTGTAATAATATACAGTGATTAAACGTATTTAAATTTTAAAACAATATTAACTGCACAGTCACTATTTTAAAAGCATCGTGCTAGGGCCAATAGGTGGCATATGGTGAAGGCACTGGACTCCCACATAGTTGACTGCAGTTCTAGCCTCAGATCCAGAGGCTTGAAAATCATGCCAGGCACATGCGCATGTATGCCCAAAATCCCAGGAGGATATGCAGGAGAAGGGATTGTGGTATATCCATCCCCTCTAAGGGGGTGATGATTTCTCACTTTCCCTTTTTCTGTCTCTTTCTAATGAACACACATGCCATATACCAAAATCTAAAAAAAAAAAAGTATCATTCTGGATTTCTACCTTTTGCCACAATGAAATAATGACTAATTTAGGGGCCGGGGTGGTGACACAGCAGTAATACAACTGTACCCCACAAGAGAAGGTACTGGGATAAACACGCACTCACACACCACTCACCCATACACATACACATTCTCTCTCTCCAAGAAAAGCCAATGTACATCATAATCAAATTGCTTCAAATTGGTGATAAAAGGAAAATCTCGTAAAACATTGCATTCTGTGTTACTGTGGACACTAAAGACAAATAATAAATAACATTGTTCTTGCAAAAAAATGTGTTTTAATTTTATGTTTATATATAAATGTAATTTGCATGAGGCATCTAGATTTTCTTCTGGAGTTTGTGAAGGTGGTAGATAGGACCCAAATTTTAATATGCACACAAAAACTGGTAAGATTAGTTCACAGGTTAAGCAGCATCTGAAAGCAGAATTTTAAAGAAAAATCCAGGATCAAAGCCAAAATTGGAAACCTTGCAAATCACCCAATGAAGAATCCACAGATCAATGATAAAATAAGGGGCTTACAATGAGGTGAAGTGTCACAGGTAAGGGAGTTTCAGAATAATGCTGGCACGAAAGAAAGCCCTTTCTTTTTGTGACAGGATGTGGAGTGTCTTAGAATAAGGAATCTTTCAGAAATAACCAAAATTAAGATGATCTGGGAAGAGTGTGAGCATTGACTTCAAGCAGAGCTCTGAGGTCAGCAAGATGAGAATTTCCCACCCTCAAATTAAAAGTTCTCCAAGACGTGCTAAGATGGCTCATCATTCTTCATCTTCACACCTCAGATCTTCGATTCTTGCTTCAGATGTCTGCCTGCTTTATCATTTTCATTTTCTCATGATTGCAGACATTCTACCTAGCAACTTCTTTTTTCCTCTAAGCCATGTTCAATAGAACTCCTAAATTGTGGAAGGCACTGCATACGGAAGCCATCTTGAGCTATCCACCATCTTGAGCTATCCACCATCTTGGAAACCATTAGGCTTCACTTCCTCACTGAGCAAACCATTTCTCAGAAATCATGTGACCAACTGTTTTCCCCATGGGGCTGATGGGTTTCTAGGTAATGGGAGAGATCCACCCACACCAATGATTGGTTCATACTGTTCTATCTCATTTGCATTTCAGGCAACCAATCGGTGCCCACCAGCCTGTATATAACTCGCCATTTTTCCTCAACAAATGGAAGAAGAAGAAGTTTTGATCAGCACTTCATATTGTCTCCACTCTGTGTGTGTGTGCGCATGTGTTTGTCCCATCTCTCACTCCCTCCCGTAGGGAACCTGTTCGACTGTCCTCCAGGTCGGGACACTAAATAAACTTTCCCTAAATGCTAACTGTCTCAGGTCTGTCCAACTTTCCTCGAAAACTCATTGCTTTACCATTTCATCATATAATAAACATGAACTTGACCCAGTTGCCACGATCTTACAACATAAGACCCCATTGGACCTATTTATTTTTATTTCAACATTCAGTCTCTGATCTCTTCCCTTTCACCCCTCCCTCTGTTATTAAGATATAGGCTTAGCTACTTTCCCTGTGCTCACCACATTCTCTCTTTTTCCTTCCACCTAGCCATGCTTCAAGTACCAACACTTACCCTCAAAGCTTTCCTTCATGGCTTTTCCTTCTTACACACTACTATAGAAGTTAAAATTTTGTTTGTATCTTTTAGTAGTTAATTTTTAGCACCATTTTACAATGTTCTAATAATTTCCTTTATGTTAGATTTTAATTCTCTTTAAGTTTCTTGAGAATTGAGCTTCTATAATCTCAAATGCCTAAAATAGTTTTGTTTTGTTTTGTTTGTTTGTTTGGTTTTCTTTTAAGGTTTTGCTATAGAGTGCATGATATTGCTGGAGAGACAGAAAGAGACAGTGAGAGAGAAAATGAGAAATCACTACCCAGGGAGCATGGCCCCACCGCAATCTCATCTCTTGCACTCTCTTCTGGGGATTTTTGGCATACACTCACACAGGCCTGGTGTGAGTTTCAAGCTGCGAAGTCTGAGACTCAAACCACCGTCGGCCATGTGGGAGTCAAACACCTTAACCACCACACCGCCACCTATTGGCTCCAGCCTAGGACAGTTTTAAAGCAGACAAAAGATTAGTAATGGCTGATAGATTCACTATTTGAAATAGTGGACATTAATATAAATGTATATTTTTTCAGATACTCTTCCAAAGATTATCCACAATGAATACAATTAATTTTGACAAAAGGAAGTGGAAACTATGTAATCCAAATAAGATGACAATAATCCTTAATTTTATAAATATATTTACAACCACGTACCACATAGTGAAGTTTCTGTCGATGACAGTGGTCCCATAGAGTATGATAGGCCATCCCAGCTAGATTTGAGTAAATATACTCTGCATCCTCCCAGGATAACAAAATCCTAGAATGTACCCCATTGTTGGTCAGCGTATGACTGCTCAGAGAACTTTTCTCTGCCCAATTCCTAATTTGCAACGATTTAAAGGCCCGACTTTGAAATTGGATTCCTGAGGTCATAATCATGAATCTCTACTACTCGTACTAATCTAAGTTCCCACAGTTATTTGTCAGTGGATAAAGGAACCAAAGATCAGAATAATATCGTGGAAACATGATGGGTAGCAAATTCACGTTGACCTACAGGACAATCCCTGTCCTGCAGCTAAAAGACAGTCTGTGAGAAGTTACTCCCCCTGCAGGGTTGACTTTGAGAGGGTCAAATGAAATGGAGGCAGACTACAGTGAGAACATTTCTTCCTATCCCCGAGTTTAAAGAGAGGAGCTAGATATTACTCATCAGAAAGAAAAAAAAAAAGAAAGAAAACCTCAGTTTTAGAATCTTGCTTATAAAATCCCTAACCTATTCAAAAACAGAAATCTACAGGCTCTTTCTCAGTATTTATCCATATTAGTCTATCATGGATCTTACATAATACACCATATTTCAGAGAACCTACTAGTAGTAGATTTCAAGAACTATTATTATTATACTCTTGTCTTTGGTTTATGTATAAAGATATTCTTTTGGGGGAGAAGCAGCAAAAATTTTACTCAGTTTAATTCTAGTACTGTTATTCTCATTTCAGTGTTACATAATCTTAGTGCCTGTCACACTTACCAAGTGTCCAAAAAATATCATCTTTTGTTTTTCCCACAATAAATGTTATGCAGGAATTAAAGAATGGGTAAGAGATACTGAAGACATGGTATTTTCATGGAAGAAAAAATCACAAAACACACAGTCCCTCATGTAGGATACTGTTATTATGGGCATACATTAAAGAATTAGTTCCAACCTCTCAAAAAACAAAGAGAGTAAAAACTAACATAAAAACTAATAGTTGAGTCTTTTTTCAATGGTCTTCTTTAAACTATATTAGGAATAGCCCAAAAATATTAATTTCATTAAATTTTATTAAAGTCAATGATTGTTAATTTCCATTCTTTCTAGAAGATATCTTTTTATTATTATTTCTTTAATTTTTATTTATTATTATTAGTTTTAAGAATTACTTATTTAATTCCATTCATTATTATTTTTTAATTTGACCAGAGAGAGAGAGAGATAAAGGGAAAGAAAGAGTAAGAAATCTGCCAGGTCTGAAACTTGAGCCATGTTCGGCAATGTGGGAATCTAGCAACTTTAACCACCACACCACCCGCTGGCCCTGTTATTATTTTTTAAATTTGTTATTGGGTACATGCACTCACCAGAGAGAGACAGATAGAGAGAGAGGAAAGTGAGAAAGCAAGCCACCAGGTCCAGAACTTGAATCACAGTCAACCAGGTGGGAGTATAACACCTTAATCGCAATGGCACCTGCTGGCCCCAGAGAGTCTTCCTTAGGGTATCAATTTAGAAGTGAGAAAATTATCATAGTCCTTGTATCTGGACCAAAGGAGAGTGGCTCTTAAACCATCAGACATAATCTTATAAATTAATTTCTTATAAAACTAATTAACTCACTGGTGACTGGGTTTTAAGAAAGTTATGGTTTTCTACAGATGCCAATTTATAACCTAATCTTATCATATAGAGGTTAGCCACTCAAGTACTCCAGATTAGAGGAACTCAGTCAAATCAAAAAAGGTAAAAAGTAGAAAAGAATTAAAATGAGTCCACTTGCAGGCAGTCAAATTAATACACTTAACCATGAGAATGGAAAGAAAACAAAGGAGTTGTTTTGAAGAAATTTGTTCAATCCTTTTATTAAGCAACTCTGAATGTGACTAGATAAGAATGTTTCAGATCAGAGTTAGGTGGAAACTTAATGCATTCAACAGTTTTCTCCCTTCTCTTGGGATTTCTTGAGTACACAATTCACCTGAATTTATTGCATGAGGAATACATTTTAAAAGGAAAGAGAAGAGAAAAATAACTCCTGCCAGAATTCAGGGGATAGCAAAGAGTCGAGGCCAGAACCTCCAGAGACCCAATTACTGATTTCTGGACTTAAATGTATAGTGTGAAATACTTTCATCAAAGAATATAAATGTTGAAGTCGAAGTGACCATTTCCTTTCATTACAGTACCTTGCCTGACCCAATCTCCACGGTGAAGTTTGTGCTCTAATATATGGCAACATTTGTGACATCCTGAAAGCAGGTCCACCCAGTTAATGGTCATGGTGGCTTCATCATCTTCACATGCACCAGTGGGCCGTTCAAACAGGGAAATCAAGGCCGCTGTGAAAGCAACTGCATGAACCTGAAGAGAGACATTGAAAGAAAAAACACACATGAAAAGGTAGTCATTACAAGAAGATGCTATATTCTTTAAGACTAATAAAGTATAGATACTGAATGAATAACAATTTCTTCAATAGTATTTAAAGCATTCTACCAGTTATCTAAAAAAAACCCAAAGAACTACAAGAGTGGGAAAGCAATCGGCTAGGGTTGCTTATTACTTGCTATTAGGACACTATCATCATTAAAAACAGAATAAAAAGCTTCCAGAATTATAAAAGGAAATTGGTCATATTAAACCATTTCAGAGATCTCAGCACATTCTAGGGTCACTCAGTAAGTAATCAATTTTCACAGCTCAGGCAGAATTTGATAGGCAGACAGAAATCACCGTATCTAATGTCTGGGTATCAGCACTGCCCTGGCTAACGCATCTATCCCTTTGTGATATGATATAGGATATGAACACCTCCTAGGAGACGTACTGAGAAGCCTGAAGCCTTATAAATAAAAGGCAGAATGATTTATTTGAAAGAATTATGAGAGACGAACTTAGATATTTAATATTAAACATTTATTAGGATTGGGACTTAATAGATTAAGCATCCTATGGTGAAAAAAGTTAGCAAGGATTTTTTTCAAAATGAGGAAAATAAGACCACAGAGCAAAAATAAAGAAAATCTTAAAATAAAGATTTTCTTATAAACAAGAGAAATTATGACTAAATTCATCTCTTCTGTTGCCAACATGCGTGACTTTATCATCTCTGGTGTAGTACAACTAGTAGATCATACTTTTTACATTTTCGTTTTTGTTTTGAGTTACAGTTTAACTGTTACCCGTAATGTTCAGTTTTATCATTTTCTCACTTACCTTTCCAGTTACATCCCCAAAAGAAAGAATAGATTCATTGGCATCAAGAGGATCATACCAATAATCCATGCAAATCGGTGTTCCTTTCAGGCCTTGGAGTTTATATTGACAAGGAAATTCTTCTTTGGACAGCAGATCATAGAAACAAATCTCTTTACTTGTAAAAGCCACTGCTATCTAAAGTAGCAAAGTAGAGACTTCAGAAAGTGTTTCTGGTAGATTTAGCGAAAGCAATATGCAAAGCAGACATGCGAATCTAGTCACTAATTAAGACATTGATTCCTGAGGGTCTTTAACAATATCATATACATATAGCATGGTGGCACACGTGTGCTTTGTTCTAAGTTTGTACTCTACCAAGAAGAAACATTTTCCATTAAAGGCATTTGAACATCCTTCCTTCCCTATTTTCACTCCTTGCACCCACTAGCATCCTCCACCCGTGGGAGGCCACATGACAAATCACACAGGAAAGACCAAGACACAGAGAGTGATAGCATCAAGAAAATTTACAAACCATATTTTATTAAACAAGCAGAGGTGCTGACAGAAATCTATTGATAAAACCTCTGTAAGTAACCTTACTCTAAGTAAGATAAAATGATGAAGCGTATTTTTTTAAGAGGGTAAATGACTAAGAGAAAAATTAGTCAGTAGAAGCTGTTTCTACAGAGGTCCATACTTTGGATTTACTAGACACATACTAACATAGCTATTTAAATGTGTTCAAAGAACTAAAGAAAACAATATCAAAACAACTGTAGGAAAGTATAAAAATGATGCTTCATCAGAGAGAATTTCAAAGTACACATATTAATCTTTAAAACGAAGAATCATTCTGCCAATCTCTGTCTTATAATTGGAGAATTTAATTTATTTAGATTTAATATAATCACTACCGAGATAGAACTTATAGATGCCTTTTTTTCTAACAACAGAGCCCTAAAATACAAGAAGCAAAAAGTGAAAAAAAAAAATGAGGAGAGAAACAGTAATTTCAATAATAACAATTAGATATATCAATATTCCACTTTCAGTAACACATAGACCAAGCAGGTTAAAGACTAAAAGGAAAAAGAAAGATGTACCAAATGCTCTGAATCAGCTAGGTCTAACCAAGAGTTACAACACTTTCTATCCAGCCACAGCGGGATACACATATATCTTTCAAGTACTCATGGAACTGTCTTCAGGATCATGACATATATGATAAAATAAGTCTTGATAAATGTAAAAGATCTGGAATTATACAAATCATGTTCTTGATAAGCAGTGTAAAGAAATGCTGTACACAGGGTCCTGGTCGGCTAGAGGGCAGGCAGAAGGGAATCACGATATGACTGAGCCCCGTAGAGGGGTATTTCTCTCTCTCTCTCTCTCTCTCTCTCTCTCTCTCTCTC